GCTTACTGCTACTTGCGGTATTGCGTCTTGTGATAGATCTGCGGGTGTGCTGCGCCTGATTCGACGCTCTCTTGTGGTTCTGGTCGATGGAGGTATACGGGTGGTGATGTCTGCTGGGATGTATGGGGGACCTTGAAATGGTGTAAGCCCGACGATAGTCGTATTGATGCTTGTTGCGTTCTGCAGCATTGCGTCTCTGCGATGGTTGTTTGGTGGGACGCTATTCTCAATGGCGCTCTCTGCGTCTTGGTTTGACTCACACCTAAGTAGCTTTGCCCAAGTCGGGTCCCTTCATTGCGGGGCTGCAGACTGTCTGCCCTCCACGATGTTTTATATAACAACATAATATTATATCTCCGTAACTTTCCCACCTTTGAATGATTGAAGGCAACTTGTTGGTGGGTGAGACAAACATGATCGAAAATGCATTTACTCAACGTCAGTGACACAAACCCTATCTGATGGCGAATTATTACTCTTATCTTATAACTGCCTTTTGGCTATATCTGCCGTTGTATTGGTTGGTGGAGCATATGTGTCGACCTCATGCGGGTGGTAGCTGGCGGGAGGATCTGAAGAGACTCTCAAGGCTGCGGCCGAAAGCCGTACAACGTGGGACCCCATTCCCTTGAGGTGAGCGGTAGACTCATGACACGCTCTGCGGATAGTAGCCGTGCTGATCATGCAATTGGTGATGATGCCATACATCACGTCTGCAGGAGCGGCGGTCTGGCAGGTGGTGGCGCTCACGGAGGGTTTACGGCCAGTGTGCCTATTTGCCTAAACTGTGTGACGTACATTCACTGTGGCTGGATTCGTTCATATTCTGTATGGCGTTTACACGCATTGACATGCGCGACTTCGGTCGATGTTTGTGCTTACGCACTAACAAGGGGTCTCTTTTACTGGTTCGCCAGTTATTTTGCTGTGGACTACGGTCCAGTCCCCGAATTAGCATTTCCTTCGGAGGGAGTGCATCAAAATGGTTGGCGCTCACCGTGCACGGCGTGTGTGGGGCCGTGTACCTCCCCTACATTTTTTTTTTCAATAAATGTAGGAGAGCGAAGCCCTTGTATCGGGTATTTTGTATAAATATATTTTGAGCCTTTTCCGAGCGGGAAGGGATAATTAATAATGTAAACCTGATACAAGCGGAATAGGGACGTTTTATGTTCTTAACCTTTTTCGAGCCCTGTCTTCGTGAACGGGGTTCACTTAACTTATAAAGCACTACCAACAGCTTTCAATTGCTCTAGTGAATATTCATTCTTCCAAAAGACACCTAAAAGAACTAAGTTACTAAACAAACACAACGTAAATAAGGGTCCTAACTAAGTCGATCACGCCAAAATATTACAAACGGCCTATTATTAAACCTTTAGAAAGATCATTTAGAAAGATCAAAATATATCTTAATTATCTTGGTCATTTATATATAATTTTATCGAAAGGGGGTAAATTAATTATACCTAATATATTTATTATTATGAGAGGGGGGAAAGCGTTACAATACGTACGTATTATAAAACACTATTGTTCGTGTAACTTGCAGACCGTCTGTTGTGCAGTATGAGGTCGCTCGTTGTCGTGCAGGAGCAGTAGAGAGACCAGCGATTGACCAAAGCTGGTTGAAAAGTGCGAGCTTCTCCATCATTGTGACCAATTCTTCACACTACAGATCTGCAGTAATGTTCATCCTGTTTGGTAAGAAGCTGTGATGAGTGAACCGACGCTTGACCACAAAACAGTGACCGCCACTTTTATAGGGGAATGCTTTCGTTGGTAAAGGACAAGGAAGATTAAATTAAATTTTTTTCTTTACTCGCTAAATTTTACACCCTGATCTTCGTTATTTCTAATGTGTGTAATAAAATATGAAAAAAAAATTGTCACTTAATTTTTTACACATTAAATTATTTAATAATTTAACTGAAATATTTTATTTTATAGAATAAGGCAGACAAACAAGCCCACATTCCACCTGATGGTAAGTGAATTCTGTGACCCACAGACATCTATATCTTTCCTCAATAAATTGTGAGAAGTCAGAATGTTTAAAAAAAGGCACGTAAGACATTTGAAAATGCTATATTTATCCCTACCTTAATGTATTGTAGTGAATGGGATAGGAGGTTGCAATCGAACCAAAAATAATTGATAGGTGCTTCCAATCAATATATCAATGAGGTCAGGAATCTGAGGGTATTCACTCCCGCGTCTCGGAAGGAACGTTATTCCTTTAGTGCTGCGCTCCAGTTTTGTCGAATTGCCGTCTCATCGAACTATGAGAGTAAGGGAATAGAGAGTGCATCTGTATTTAGGCAGACACTTTGTGCGCTAATACAAGAGTCCCGCGCAGTAAGCTATCTCCAGTCTTCGTTGAGACTGGCTTCTGTGAACGAAATCGAAACGATTATTAATATGCCATCAGGGCATTATTGCAAATTGTGATTGTTCTACAATATTCCATATTTAAAGCGATCAGTTCCTTTATTATATGTAATTGGTTTGTAGAAAACGACACTAACGATTTGGATGAAATTTTGTACTTGGATAAGATCATAAATCTTAGTTTATTTAGATATGTGTCAACCCTTAGAAATTTTTTTTCTCAAACGCCGAGCAGCGTTTGTTCACTATGTACTATAAATTAAACATCAGACAATGCTACGAACTCTTCCAACTAGTTTTATTTATTCCTACAAGTCGTCTTCTTTTTATGCGGTAGATTCATGCTGCAGCTATATTAATAGTATAGTCGTAGCACGAATGGGTCGGCTCGACCGGGGAAGGAACATATTCTCACAGAATACTAGCATAAAACATCAGCTTAATGGTGCTGTGTTTCGTATGGTGAGTGTATTTAAGAACCAGAGACTCTTTTTACTGAAAAAGAGGCATTCCATCTTAGTCCTCACGGCTGACACCGGATCTTCATTTTTATTCTTAAACGAGGATTGATGTAGATGTCTATGGGCCACAGTAACCACTCACCATCCGGTGCACTGCGTGCTCGCTTGTCACCTTTTTCCTATAAAAAACCATGGGAATAAGTTAGTTTTTAAAAAATTGATGCACTAATTATCAACTTTCCAACTATGTAGAAAGTTAGTAAAGTCAGTAAAGATACAGCCTATATAGGTCTCAAACGAGGATTGATGTAGATGTCTATTGGGCCACAACAACCACTCACCATCAGGTGCACTGTATCCTCGCTTATCATCCTTATTCTATAAAAAAAAAACATGGGAAAAAGTTCATACGCTAATTATCAACTTACCAACTATGTTGAAAGTTAGTTAAGATACAGCCTATATGGGTCCTACTGCGCAACACAAGCTTCCTCTCATTTCCGAGATAATTGGCTCGCCGAGCCCCAATGCGTATTGGTGGACTTCAGATGTCTTCAAAATACTTTTATTACTCAGACAGTCAGCGGACTGCGGTAGCTGGTATGCCCATGAACACCTGATGTCAATTTCAAGCAACGAAGTCTACAGATGCTTTCAGACATCTAATGATTAAGATGCAATGTCCCACAGTCTGTAATTATACTACATATACCTTTCTATACGTTTCAGACCGATAACACAGCGGTGCAACACTGCTAGAATTAGTAAAGTTACAGCCTTTATACTCGTACATGTCCCACTGCTGGGCACAGGCCTCCTCTCATTACCGAGGGCAAGAAATAGGTAATGAGTTATATCTACCCAGACCGACTCCTATGAAAAAAGTCCTTTCACCAGCAAAAATGTGTAAGTAGATTTTTAGGATTTTTGAAAGTGGAAACATAATTTTTTAAGAATAATTCGAAATTATATACAAAATTACTAAGAAACATTTATCTTAATGACAATTTGAGACGATTCGTTTATCATTTATGTTTAATTGCATATTCACTTAGAAGTTTATCAGTATCTAATATAGTGCTACTGAATTGAAAAGTCTTTGGAATCAACTTAGATTGCTGGAGAGAAGATTCATTTTACAATACAATTCAAAAATTTTAAAAATGTTGCGGTGAATCGTGATTATATAAAAAGACATTGTTATTACATTTTACATTCTAGTTCTATTGTAGTAATTGTTATTAACACTACGATGCTGATATCAAAGGTATGTATAAACTTATTAAATTTTTACTCACGATTTATTTATTCATATTTCTATGATAAAAGTGAAAAAAAAACTATTTACCGGTATTAGTCACATTTAATTTTATATATCATCAAATAGTTTGCTAGCTCCTTTGCAGTGCTGTTCAGTAAGTATTATTACGGGACGATCATGGCGTTTGACGTTATCAATATCTTCTATTTCTTTCTCATTGGATCTTAATTGTCCAATAATGGATACAACTCCTCCCCTATTGTCATGTCGTCACGTTTGGTTGGCGAATTAAAAATTGCAGAAGTTTTATATCTTCAACGCTGTTGCCCATCTCCGTTTTTGGTATTTCACGTCTGATGTAAACGAAGTAACTACTATGTAGTGGCAATGTAAGAATATTCTCTACCCCTTATTATCTCGTGTGTGACGTAAAAAGGTAATGAAATAGGAGATGTGTAGCAGCAATACTATGATAACAACTTAAATCAATAAATAACTGCGTTTGCCAAACCGCCTGCCAAAGCGTAGCAAATATGACAAATACATACCAGAACACAGCAATGGGAACCCATTGCTACTGCTAGGCGATAGAAATAGGATAGAGATATAACTAACCCTACATGATACCAACCTGGCCGGAATTTTAGGCAAAACGGGAGCTCTAAATTTAAGTCTTCTATTGTAAATAAGGCATATACGATATGGTATAATGTCGTCTTTTGAATGCCAGAACGTATTTCTGGTCATTCTCATAGTCGCCTTATAGGATACATGCAGGACGAAATGTCATAACGGATTCTCTTATTTTGCCATCAAACGGCTGAAATATTTATAAATTTTTAATAAACGTTGCATGGGAAGGCCTTCATGATGAATTTATTTTTCAGGTCAATATTCTAAGCGTCTGCTTCGTGATAGTTTTATCGTCTGCATATGATGTCAATGCCAACAACGATGCTGTGGTGCCAGGACAACCAAGTTCAAAAACGGTCACAACAACAACAGTAACAACATCAGAACAATACCCGGAACCTATTGCCGCTGTAAAGGAACCAGTTCCAGTAGCACCTATTCAGGTCTCACCTCAACCAGTTGCCTCTGTTCCGGTTGCACCTGCCCCTGTTGCGCCCGCCCCGGTTGCATCTGTACCGGGTGTACCTGCCCCGGTTACTCCAGTAGCGGTTGCACCTGTCGCGGTTGCACCTGTCGCGGTTGTACCAGTTCCGGTTGTACCTGCCCCGGATGCACCTGCTAGGGTTTCCCCTGATCCGGTTGTATCTGCCCCTGTTGCACCTGCCCAGGTTGCACCTGTAGCGGTTGTACCTGCCCCGGTTGGCCCTGTTCCGGTTGTACCTGCGTCGGTTGCACCTGCCCCGGTTGCACCTGCCGCGGTTACACCTGCCCCGGTTGCACCTGCCTCGGTTGCACCTGCCCTGGTTGCATCTTCCCCGGTTGCACCTGCCCCGGTTATACCTGCCCAAGTTGCACCTGCCCCGGTTGCACCTGCCGCGGTTGCACCGGCCCCGGTTGCTCCTGTCCCGGTTGTCCCTGTTCCGGTTATACCTGCTCCGGTTGCACCTGTCCCGGTTGCTCATATTCCGGTTGCATCAGCTCCCTTCCCGCTAATGCCGGTGGCACCAATGCCAATAGCCCCTTATCCTGGCATTTGGCCGATACCTACCAGAAATGTACTTCCTCATTATCCAGGCTTCTATCCATTCCGTAATTCATTGCCGTCACCCAATTCATATTCTCAAGTAATGAACATATACCCAAATAATCGTGACGGACCTGAATACCTATTAATACCAGCTCCATTTCTTAATGTCGCAAAAAAGGAGTAAGAGTAAAGAGTAAGAGTTTTTCGTGAAAGTTTTAAATAAAAGGTGAGTTTTAAAGAGTTTTAAGGGGATCCTTTTAAACTTTGCTGTAAAATTCGCAATAAATCGGTAGTTGTTAAAAGTCTTTTTTTACCATTTTCACATACATTTATTAGAAAAATTAGAACATATAATATAACGTACTCGTATCAAGTGGAGTAACAATTTATATAAGTCTCACAGCTGGGCACAGGTTTTCTTTAATTTCTGAGTGGCTTTTATGGAACGAAAGAGATATACAGATACACCAATGTGTGTAGACCGATATTAAAAAATAAAAAATACGTGTGGCACTCGGTGACTGCCGCGGTAAAGCTATTGCATAGCATTTTTATAAACTTATGCAATTGTAATTATTTATTTATTTTATTTATGCAGTTAAGTCTTTGATATTAAATCAAGTTACACATTTGAGCGTGGTCACCGATAAGAAAACATTTTTTTTTCTCTTATTGAATAAATGAGAAGTTAATATTGTTTAAAATATTTTTATTATCTTACAATACATGTAGGTTATTCAGGAATTTTTATCATTGAGTTAGCAGCTAGTGTACACGCATACGTCTAGTCGCACGCACACAAACACCGTGCCGAAGTCTGCCGAGTGCCGAAGTCTGCCAAACTGAAACGACGTTAGACGATGCACGGCTTTCAACGCCACACCTCCGTGCCCGTCGGAGTGGGGAGCGTGAGGTTTTTTTTCGTTACGGAATTTCTGGATTCGGTCCCCGCGCTCAAGGCCCGCGATAGAAGCTACGCAATAGCTTAAAAAATAAAATACGAAGAAGTGAAATAAACATTAGATTATTAAACTTTTATTCTGCGTGGGTAACCATCGAATGTTGTAGATACCCAGGTACCATACTCTTACCCATTTTCCGAAACAATAGTGCGTTTTACTTCATTTAGAACTCGTAAAATCCGGCACTTTTATAGAAATTATTGAATAATTAACTTTTCATTAATGGAATTAGGGTAAAAATCGAGCGCATAGTCCACCTGATGGTAGCTTTAGACCAAAGACTGCTACATCTAGATACTATATATTGTTTAAAAAAATATAAATTTTCACAATCGTAACCTTAGACGTGCCCATGATATATACATACAAAAAGTTAGAACAGAGTATGGTAAGAAAAATATAATGTTTGACGGTGTAAAACTGTATAACGCTTTACCTAAAAATATAAAAGAATCAAAAACGTTATCTTTATTTAAAAATTTATTGAAACGCGATATTTTGGAAAATTAACCAAAAAAAAAACAAGCTAAAATTAAATCTAACTTAGTTTTGAACGCACCCTTATTTCTGTTTCGGTTGCATTAATTGTTCCGTCATTAAAATCATGCGGATGTAAACCTATGTTTACCGTTCTTTTAATTGTTTACGTTTTACCCACATCTATAGTTAATATTCTGTATGCTTGTAATGGATTCCTTTATTATTGTTTGTAAATTTTTTATTTGTCGTAAGCGATTTGTAATCTTTTGAGAAATAAATAATATCTTAAACCTAAATCTATCTATCATCGGTTAAAAGATCAAAATGTAGATAGATGCATTGTCCATCTTTGAGGATTATGATAGAGTATCTCGATACCAGTAAAAGGGATTCCGTTTTTCTACAATCACCATACGAAACACCGTACTAAGTTGCTTTTTTTACGCTGGTACTCTGTGAGAGAGTGGCCCTTCCCCTGTGACGCCACCTTACATTTTAAATTGGTGACAGCAGTGTCAAAATCACAAAGCATCTAATATTTAGATTGTTAATCAGCTACCTAAGCGGTTCTGAACGAACTGTAAATTTTAGCCCACTGAACAGGTGTCGGAGTTTTCCTGAGTATTCATTGTATCTTGCGTCATACTTGTTAAGAGGTGCTGCTCGTGGATGCTGGTCTGCAGTGGTACAGTGTAACTTTGGTAGGAATCGTCTGCTGATGGAAATCACTTTGGGATGTAATTGGGTCAAAGTTGTAGCAGGTATTCATTGCATGTGCGTTATACAAATGAACAGGTGTTGCTCGTAGATGATGGTCTGCAGTGCGTTGTGTAACTCTGGTAGGCATCGCTTGCCGATGCCAATCACTCTGGGATGAAAAAGATTTAGAGTTGTCCTTAGTATATAGTGCATATATGTCATACTTATTAACAGGTACAACTCGTGCGATGCACTACTATATACATTATCGCACGGCAATCCTGGTAGTAATCGTCTGTCGATAGGAATCACTCCGCCACTGCGGCATGTTTCTAATATGATAAAATTTTGTAACCCTAAAATAAGATGTTAATATGAAAAAGATATTTACTTATAATAGATAGTGAATTTACACAACTTGACGAAATCAAACGTTAAACCTTAAAAATCAAAACAAGGTTGTTCTAATTAGTGTTTACAATAACACTGCTGGTCGAGATTGTGCTTTGATGGGTTCCAAAATGTTTACCTCTAGTTGTTTATTATAGAACAGTTATTGTGCTTCAGTTACTGATAGTGTTTAGTCAGCAGTTTAATAGTGTATTGGCAGTGTAAGAATAAAAATATCTATTACACCATATACTCACAATATCAACCCGTGGGTGTCGTTGGAGGCGACGGAGGGAAATTTTGTATTGATATTTTCTAGAAGAAAGTGCTATGTATTTCGTTTTATAAATTTTTTACCTTACACTTGTTCCCTTCTATAAAAATTTGTTTAACTAAAAGATAGTAAAATCCGATTGAAAAACACCATAGCTATTACTTTTTAATTACAGTACAACTTTTCTAGAAGATTAGTTTCATAATTTCATAATAATCAAGATCATATGGTTTTCTAGCTGTTTCGACCAAGATATCTAGTCATTGGTTACACGTTTTACAAGAAATCTGGGCTCGCGACTTCGTCCACGTGTGGAGACACCACAGGTGTAGGCTTTGGTCATGTGTGAAGCTTGTCGAGTCACTTGTAAGCTGTGGTCTTGTGTGAAGGTTGTTGAGACGCGTGGAATCTGTGGTCGTGTGTTGAGGGTGTTCGACAACTGGAAGCAGTGGTCGTGTGTTGAGGGTGGTCGACAAGTGGAAGCTGTAATCGTGTGTTGAGGGTGGTCGACAAGTGGAAGCTGTGGTCGTGTGTAGAGGATGGTGGAGACGCATGTAATCTGTGTACGTGTGTAGAGAGCCGTGGAGACGTGTATAAGCTTTGGTCGTGTGTGGAGGGTAGTCGAAACGTGTAAACTGTGGTCATGACAAATCTCAACGAATCAGTAAGTTTATGTTGCAATGGGCTGGCAATATAGCTCATAGAACCGACAACGGGTGGGGAAGAAAGGTTTTCGAGTAGCAAGCTCGTGTCATTAAGCGACGTGTAGATGTTTTGTGGTTATCTTTAATGGAAGGCTTATCTTTGGCAGCGAACTTGAAAAGGGCTTTAAGGATGATGGGGGTATTTTTATATGAATATAGTTTTTTTTATATTTAATTCTTAAGTTATAGTTATTAACGAATTAAATATAAAACTTCACAAGAATTGTCTTTATCTGATCACTACGTCTCGTTAATGATTTTAAACATTAATATACTTCGCTTTGACATTTAAGTCTAAAAAGCGAAATATTAAATCATTTTATTGAAAGCGAAATGTCGATTTATAGTTATGTTTAAATTGTGAAACCGAATTATTACAAGCAGTAGAATATGAAATTCTATTGGATATAGTGCAAATGATGCAATAAACTTGTTAATTTTTAAAACACTTCATTGATTTCATTTTAAAAACAATACATTCCAACTTATGGTAAATGAAAACTGCGGCAACATGGACATCCGCTACCATCTTCAAACAAAAAAGGGGTAGGCTATTTCTTTCGTCATGGTACAGATGATGGTATCTATCAGATTCGGCCCTAAAATTCAATACATTACGTCATATTAAAAGAGATTTTACTGGTAATGTATTTGATTGACATATCTGACATTTTCTAGGAGGCTCGAAAAAACAACGAATTATATGTTTACCACAAATGCTAGCACCGGCTGGAAATCAAAGCTCAACGGCGTAATATATGCTCTGTACACTTAATTACGGTATTATTGTAAAGGACTCTCATACATTTAACACGGACATACTATCATACTCTTTTACACGTATTTTAAATGCATTAAAATGCAGATGCATTGTCACCTCTGGGAACTAAACAGGAATACCTCGTAACCAATCAAAAGGGTCACTTACCAATCAACGCATAAAGCATAGGTGGTTCTTAAAGGTGGAAGCGACCCATTGATGCTGCTCAAAAACATGGTGCATTAGATGTTCAATAATGTTTTGCTGTAACTGGACTCTACCACGCGAAAAGATTACTGAGATGGATCAAACATTTCAATTTCGTTACCTTGTCCTATGGATGTGATTCTAGATCTTGCATATATTTAAAAAATGCGTGTAATTGTGTACACACGTACGAAGTGAAACTAATTTACGACATAGCATTCTTTTTATTTTAATACTCACGCGGCCCCGGTGGCGATGAAACTTCACAACAAAATATTAAAAGTATACAAAGGCTTTTTACATTTTTAATACCAAATAAGTACCAATTTTTACGCGGTAGAGCCATACTGCATCTATACTGTGGTTGCAGCACGAATGGGTCGGCTCGACCAGGGTAGGATCACGCTCTTACAGAATACCAGCGTAAAATAGTAGCTTAATGGTGCTGTGTTTCGTATGTTGAGTGTAAAGAACCGGAGACAATTTTTACTGGAAACGATGAATTCCATCTCAGTCCTCAGGGCTGGCAACGTATTTGTATTTTGATTATTAATTGAACATAAATGTAAATGTCTATGGGCCACAGCATTCACTTACCATCAGGTGAACTGTGTGCTCGTTTGTCACCCTTATTCTTTGAAAAAAACCATACAAAAATTTTCCACTTCGTCGATTAAGTAGTTTCACTTCGAAAATTCCAGGTAAGCG